ATAAAGTTCCAAGATGAATCAATAAGAGAATGAAGCAGAATATTACTAATAATCATTAAGATTAGAATTTGACTTTATTCAAAGCATATCCATCACAATACAAAATGCAACTCTGCTAGAAATAAAGACAAGTGAGAGAGAAAGAAAAAAAAGAATTATATACAGTGAAACCTCTATTAGTGAACATCTCTACAAGGTGAACATCTCCTGTTTGAACGAATGTCTCGGTTCTCCCGATCGATTTTTGCTGTAAACAGACCTCTATATGGTCAACACGTGTAATAATGTATGCGCGTGTGTATGAAACAAAGGAGAAAAACGAACATAGTGTACATTATCAAACGGTGATAGGTCAATTCAGCGTCGGTCTATTCATGTCAAGAAAATTCGTCGCAAGTATGGAACAAAAGAAACAATGAAAATGATTAGTCCGCGACGAATTGTTCGTTCGCATGTGAAAGAATAACGCACTTATCTATTTACGATTGTGAGATGAAGACGAGACATAGATTAACCCTCTCTGAGAAGATGCAATTAATTCATCAAAATGAAGAAAATTTGTTGTACCGTACATTTAACGAAAAAGAAGTTTAGCTACCAAATAAAATCAAGAATTGTTTTCGTTTATAGAGTAATCTTTTTTCTGAGCGCAGTTCTTTTCGACATAAAGACTTTAGTTTTTTTATCCTTGTTTTAATCTCATATTTAATAGATTTTTTCTTTCATTAAACTTTCATTGAATTGTTTTAGATGGCATCTGCCAATCCAACATCATCTTTTCCAGATAGTCGTTTTGTTAATGATCCATTGCCATCAGCCACGGCAACATTCAATAAAGAACAATTAAAGTCAAAATTTAACTTAGCAATTTTAGATGATCTTGATCGAAAAAAGGAAGTGAAGTGAAAGAAGCGGCTGACGAAATTAAAAAGTTATTGAACAAGCGAATTGATAGGTATACTGTTGTTGCAAATGGTATTACAAAATCACATGCAGCTGTTTGGTGGTCAAAATTTGGCTTTACAAAGGAAATTGTATCTGGCGAGACTCATTCGATCTCTAACTTCGTTTCTTGTCAACATTGTTTTGCTACATATCGTTATGGTGCATCATCAACCGAATCTATTTCACATCATCAATGTCATGCAGCAACATCATCATGTGCATTTACTTTCAATAAAAGTCACTGTACATTAGATGCATATTTTAATAAAAATAAAAAACAATTTCGTGTTTCTGAACAACAAAATCTTACTAAATTATTTTCAATCTGGATTTCTGATAGTTTTCGTCCTATATCAATTATAGATGATTCTGGTCTTCGTGAAATTTGTAGTTACTTTTATGATTTAGGTAAAATCAATTTTTTAAAGTTTATCTAAACCCTACAATCATGAATGTGAGATTGTCTTGGTTGTCATTCACTTTCTCTTTTTAGGAACAAAAAATGCTGATCGTCATATGGATGTACAAAGTTTATTTCAATCAAAACAAACAGTCTCTCGGTGTATTATTGATCAAGCACATTATTATCGTGTACAATTAACAGAGCTTATTAAAGAACCAATTGAAAATAAATCATTAACCATATCACCAGATATGTGGTGCGACCGCTATCGTCAAATATCTTATTTAGGTTTAACAGTGACCTACGTTGATTCAAATATGAAATATCACAAATTTACTATGTCATGTCGTGATTTTCCAGTTGATTTATCAAAATCCGGTGAAAACATATCAAAAGTGAGAATACCTATTTCTTTTGAAAAGTCATCTTTTTTTCTTTTTTCTTAGATATTGAAAGAAGAGTTGAATCGATTTGGAATTGACCACTTTGATTCAGTTAACTGGATTAGCGATCGTGGGTCAAATTTCATTCGTTGTTTCAATTTAAATATGGTGATTCCTATCCATTGTTTTGCACACCGCTTGCACAATGTTTTAACAGTAACATTTATTAATGAAAAAATTGATGGTTATTTTAATGATGAAGATATAGATGACATTCCAGATAAGTTGGGACAAGACGAGTTTTTGGGTAATGAATTTATTACTATGGCTGCTAAAAAAATATTATTAACCATCAGCTATACAAAAACTCTAGTTCGATTTGTAAAAAAGGTAAGTTAATTTCCATTTTTTTTAGACGAGCGGACATAAATTGGAGTATACTAATTGAAATAGAGAATTAAAACCAAAAACAACAGAAAATGAGTCTACAAAAACATAGCATTGTTTTTGAAGTTTACTTATATCCTCACTTAAGTGAATATTAAGTGTTTCCGAGTAAACTGGACTATAACTCATTGACTCGTGCAGCAATTAGATAACGAGAAACTTTTTTAAGTGAAGCCAGGATCTTCATGTAATAGAATTTATAGTGACAAATTTTTTCAAATAAATCTTTTATTTCAAGAATTGTCAGTGAAACTTTTTATTTCATACTTTTAGACAAACTTAAATGAATTAATAGTAAAATTAGGTGGTGATGATACTAAAACATTGAAACAATCAGTAACAACACGATGGTTATCCTTATTTATATGTGTAGAATCTGTTTACAGTAATTATGATGCTACATTATTAGCATTGGAAAGTCGTCGTACAACAAAATATATGAATGATTTAAGAAAAAATAGTTTAATTGATTTAGTAAGTTTGCTAGCTCCAATTAATGCAGCTCTTCAAGCTATTCAAACAGATGAAACACCATCATTACATTTGGTAGTACCATTTTATCAGAAATTATTACATGATTATAGTAGCTATTCGAAATTAGTTGCATCAGCAAAAAAAATACTCGAAAATATTTCAGAATTCATGTGTTGCTGAATATTTATTAGCCGAACCAAGTGGTATGTATTTTGAAAATAACTTAATTTTTCAACATGATTAGGTCGTAAAGTATATCAATCATACTTGTAGCAACCTTTTCGTGGCCTGATAAATTTCTTTCGAGATCATTTCCTCAATTTTTTTCTCTTTTGAAATTCAATAAAAGGCTCTTTCTACTAGTTATTAAACGTAGAAGCTTATTTTTCTCTTCTATTTAGGAGTTCAATTTTTTCGTGAACGTATACATTTGGAATTAAATAAAATTATTTTTGATGCTCTTCATTATATGTCAATGTGCTTACATCCAGCTTTGCGTGAGATGAGTAAGAGAGCTGCTAGTTTTTGTTTTATTCGTATTACTAAATCTTGTACTTTATTTAGATGAACTTCCAGAACACACTAAAATGAATTGCCACGAGAATATTCGGAAACTTTTACAAGAAGAAGAAGCTCAATTAAGTGTTTTAGATCAGACGACGAGAAATGATGCTTTAGCTATGAGAAAACAACGAAAAATGTTAAATCAGTTTTTAGATGAAGAAGATGACGATGAAAGTAGTATATATGAACTAATGCATAAATCCAAAAATTAAAATACACTTCCTTTCTTATTTCTGTAGAAGAATGTACACCATCATCATCTCATCAAGATGAACTTGATATTGATCAAGATGATAGTGATGTTTACCATAAAAGTAGTATTAGACGTTCGTCATCCGAATCATCATTATCAACTGAATTTTCTTATAAAACAAATTATCAAGCATTCAAGCCCGATGAATTCGATCGATATCTTGAATCCGATTTATCGTCGACAATAGTAAAAGCAAATCCACTTGAGTTTTAGTCAAGTGACATTACAACAACAAAATTTCCTATATTACAACGTATTGCACGAAAACTTCATTCAATTCCTACTACATCGGCAGGAACTGAACGCCTTTTTAGCCATTCTGAGCTCATATTAACAAATCGACGACAAAGATTGGCGCCATCACAAGTTGATAACATGCTTCTTATTAGAAGTGCCAGACAATTATTGTTATATTCGAAAAAAGATAGTTCAACAAATAATTAACTTTGTTTATTGATAGAGTATTTTTTTTGTGTATTTGAAATTCAAGTGAAAAAAATAAATGAACTATGATGAACATTTCAATTAACTTGAATTAACTTTTCCTTTGTAAACGAGAAGTTTCTTTCTAACTTTCTTGAAAGGGAAGCAGAAAAACTCAAATTAATACTTTTTGTATGCGATAAAGTGTGATAGTCTAAGGAATTTGAACATTCATCTCTATATTATTTTTCTTTTTTTTATTAATAATCTTAAACCCTCTAATCATCTTCAAAGTCACATGAATTTTCATTTCTCTTTGAATTTAAGTTATTACGTAAAAAATTAAAAAACTGCCATATTCTTCAGACTCTTTCGTTGTTTCACGAAGAACTTAAAAAATCGATGAGGTCTTAGAAGTCATACTTATTCTACATCTACTTAGAACTAATTTGTTAATATAGCAGTTAAACGGTTATTCCTTATTGATTTTGAGTGAGAACCAGACTGTATGACTACTGTAGACCGATAAATACCGTTTTTCTTCATGTAGTTGACGTAGTACTGTTGTAACTTTTTGTTAAAATATCGCTGCGACAGCGGCAAGTTTTTTAGCATGCCGCGGCACCGAGCCGTGCAAACGATAGCGGCGCGGTAGCGCCGCGATGCCGATCTATGTAAAAGACAGCGGCAGATTTTCAGCCGCGATGGACATCTCTGATTTATATATAAGAAACAAGTGGAAAAATCTATAAGATGAAATATTTCATAGGTGATGATACACGAGAAGGAAAATCACCTCTGCAATACCAAGAGAAAAGAAAACAATAAATAGAGCGCAGAAAAGGAAAGAAGAGGAGAATGAAAGGAAAAATCCATCATGCATATCGAACAGTAACATGAATAACAATAGAATAACAGAAGAGAGGAAATAACATACTGCTACCTAACAACAAACTAGTAATTGGAAAACTTTCGATCGATTTTAAGTAATAAAAAACAATTTTGCAAAATTTATACTAGTGTCTCTCTCAAATTTGTTAATCGCTTTTTTATTTGCAATCGAATTTGTCATTTACTTTTACTCATGGCACAAATCAGGAGTGTTGATCTTTAATTAATTTATATTAAATTTAACTTTTTAAAATGTATTAAAATTTTATATATTTATCCAAATCGAGCTTAAATCAGTGTAGATTCAATTTCAGCCCCCCCCCCCCTCAGAAATGATTTCCCACTTAGAATGGGCCTTTTGAGCTGAAAATTTCAGGGATGAGTGATCCTGGAGAGATACGTCTCTGATAAAAATTTCAGCCCGATTGGCCCTACTAGACCGGAGTTTCAGCTGATTCATAGGCCATTTTTGGCCTTCAGGAGAATCTAGATAACTTTGTCGTAATACGAGGTTTAGAGCTCGGAGTGGTTTCAAATTAAAGCCAATGTCAGTACGCAACTTTTCGTCAACCAGAATTTTTAAATTCCGTTTTGTTCATTTTTTATGAATATTTTAGTAAACATGTCTTAAAAAAAGCATAAAAAACAGCAATCTGCCGACACTAAATTCCACGTTTCTCAGCCCAGGAATCGGTTTTAAAAAAGTGGTTGATGAAAAGTTTCCTCTCATTGAGGCCTTTAAAACAAAAAAAAATATGTGTTATATCTTGAACCGTGCGTGAGTTATCTCGATTTTTCTGACTGAAAACCATGTTCTGAGAAAAACGAGAAAGAAGTTTTAGAAATGGATTTTTTTCATTTAAATCCAAAAACATCATCTTAAAATGGCATATTTTCAATATATTTCATTGAACTTTTTTAAGGCGCGTAACAGATGCAGTAAGCTAGCGTCATCTGTCATGCTGAAATAGCTTTGCTCTCCTCTTTTTTGGATGACTCACGTATTTTTATATCACAATATTTTTTGGAAAAAAAATTAAAATATCTATCACCATCTCTATTTTTTTAAACTGAGCCATATAACGACTACAAATAACATAATTATATCAGTAATATAATTCTAAAGCATTTGCTGTTTTTCTGTAGAATTTCAAAACCAAATGAACAACTTTGACATCTGCTTCAACGCCTTATGCAATACATTTCATAAGGAAAATGTTATTATGCCTCCAGCTCTGGTCAAAATTTTGAAACCCGATGATGTTGTTCATGCAAGTATCACTCTTACAAATACAAGCAACATTAATTCTGATTCTGATACTACAACCAACAATGATACAGATAGTTCAGATGAATCAGTTGACTCAAACAACATCGATTCGAACAAATTAATTCAAGAAAATGTCAACAAAGGAAGGAATGATGATGGTGTAGCGAATGTGTCACTTTTGTGTCAGTTTTTCCTCTGAATACATTCCAAATTTAAGTCAAAGCACTTAAAACCTAGAAAACCCGATATTCATTAAATCCGAGGGTCTTCTTATAAAAGTACATTTTAGCTATTAATAAATATTCTTCTCTGTTTCAAGAGACGCAAAAACCATTGCAAGGTCATTTTCATCATTAACACTTACAACCAACGTAAATCCACTCAATTCATCTTTGTCGTCATTAACACTGGCAAGAAAGTCAAATCCACTCGACTTGCCTCGTGATCGAAATGTCGACAAGAAACTTTCAAAAAACTTAATCAACTCATCTTCAACATTCGACAACAAAAAGGAAAAATAACAAAAAAAGAAATATATGAGCTGCCACCATTAT